CATGCACAATGCCCGTACAGCTGTAACGGTACCGGTTGCCGCCGCGATCTCCGTCCTCGGGTCGAGTAGCACTGTGAGTTCGTAATAATCGTCAGCAGCTCGCGAGCAATGTTAACGGCGGCGTTCCGGATTCGGCACGGGGGCATATGTATTATTATCCGCAGTGCGTAGTTTGTTCCGCCTTCGGACGCTAATAATTCCGTTGCTAATACCCGATAATTAACGAGTCGAGTTTAACGTAAGAATACGAATCCGCGCGTGGGCTGGTGACGGTATTATTGTCGTTATGCCCGTAATCTGATTGTAGTCGCGACGGAGATCGAAAACAATAATTTTTATTTCGTGTAAAGTTCCCTTTGGATGTTATCGCGGACGTTTGCACGCACAGTTGCGTTATTAACGTTTGGTATTATAATGTCGAAGCCCCCGAACGGCTGCTGTGCGTACCGGTGACGACGTTGTTATTCTCGCTCGGCAATTAAACTCTGTAAAATAGGCAAACAGAATGTGTAATTGTTTATTTAAAAATAGAAACACATTAAAACCGGCAGTGAAGTGATTTTTTTTTCTTTCTGCGAAGCGGCTGCAGTAAAATACCAAAAAAAAAAACCACCCGTAAACTCACAACAGCCCGAGCCCGAAAAAACCGGACCCTGTAACTACGACTAACTTGACGTTCCTGTACTACTTTGAATTGTTCGTTAACTTATCTGATGATAAAGTTTCACTCGTAACTGCCCAACTGATTGAGTCATAAAACAACTGCTTCATGGGGTACCCGTTCACGCCGCTACTGATTAAAACTCTAACGCTATAGCTATCCCGCGTCGGACACAAAGGAAATTCCACGTATTTTTATTTTTATAGACGATTCGTTTAAAGATTATTTTTTTAGTGTTTCTTTTTTCCTCCGCACTTATATAGTTCCTACATGACACGTGCGCAGGACAAGAAATTATATCTATCTGAATTAACGAGCACTCTGCAGGCCTTAGGTACAGGCTACAATATTTTGTTCGAAACCGCCGCGTGACTTGAATATTTTATTTTTCTTATTGAAACAGATAATGTAAAGTGAAACGTTGGACTTAATCGCCTAATTGAGCAATTTGAAATATTATTCCTCCTGCTATTAAAAATACTACAATAGCATTCGGTCGGTGTATTATGAGACTGCTTGTAACTGCAATATTCGTTACTGTATATTTTCAAAATATTACGTTTTAATAACGGCGTGCGAGTTTTTAAAAAATGCATTTCTAGCCGAATGTTTTGTCAAATGTAGTTAAATGGATTTTTATCGTTTATTTGTTTGTTTTATCCCGTAAAACTCACACAGCTCTGAAAAGTCTGTAGCTATGTAAAATTATTCCATTCACCGTACCGACGCGCGTTTTGAATAAAATAACTTTTTTTCCCGTGCCGGTATTGATTTAGAAAAAAAAAAAAAAAAATAAAAAGTACGTTACGGATTTACGCAGAGTAAACATTATGCGACGCGATTCGATTACGTTTATTCGGTGCGCATACAATAATATACAGTCGACTTGAAAAGTTTTATGTGTGCGGACTGCGGGAAGCTACTCATTTTAATGTTATCTAAAAAGTTTTTTTTTTCAAAGCTGCGAATATTTGTTTTAGATAAACACGTACGCTTTTGTGACGATCGGCGGCGAATGGGCGCAATCGGCGGTTGATCGGCAACTTTCTATAATATAAAACAAAATTTGTACTTTTTACGCAGGAACAAACTATGAAAACGACATCCGGGGATCTCGTTCGCTCCCGAAAAAATATTCAGACGTATAACCCAAAGTTTGTAATAAAATTCTAGTACTTACGTGGAAAAAAAACATTATATACATTTTTGAAATTTTTGAAATTTTTATGCGATTCAAAAATCGCGGAGAAATTTTTCTATTAAATACATTGACGGAAACGATTTTCGGGTTTTTTTTCCTAGATTTTCGTGTCATCCAGTTGCGTAATAAACTGATAAACCTTTGGAAGAGGAGGAATTGATTTTAATCTCACTGTAATATGAAATACGTGTGATGTACAGGGCTCTGCAGCTTGAAGGGGTTTCAGACGATCCAAGGTAGGCTAAACTTCTCTAGCCCTTCTCCCCCACCGAAGCTCTCTCGCTGCTCTCTCGCTATACTCCACAGTCGTTATAAGGCATCTAAATATAATCCGGATAGAAAATCCGGTAAAGGCATAGGGAATATCTGCAATTTATTAAAAGAGCGTGTTAGGCATTATTAGGTTTTATGACGTGATCTCGTCAAGTCGGAAACTCGATTTTTCAACCGTAAAAATAGAAAAACATGTCTATTTTCTTGCAATACTGTGCCGAGTAGTTTTCGCGTTTATTACGGTTTTGACAGAAGACAATTTTTTTTTTTTTTTCGCAGAACAGCGGTCAATAAAGATTAAAGCCCCGGCACTCGATTTGTTAAGGTACAGACGGCACAGTGTTTTGTACGGTTACGTTTTATTTATTTATTTTTTTTTTTTTTTTTTACTCCATCATAATATTATATAAATAAAACATTCTCGTCCGTTCTTTATACCTAATATTGTATAAAATAATATCATAACCGTTCGGACCGCTCCTCCGGGGGGGTCGTCGTCGTCGGCGGCGGCGGCGGCAAAGGAGCCGGAGGGTTGGACGGAGGGGAGGGATCGGCCTAAACACGAAAACACGGGTAAATACGACGGGGATGAATAATGCATATTGTTTTAATGCGGAGGCATCGCATAGTATACCCGGTAATCGTGTGCGGTTCACGCAGATGGTCCGCGCGGTCCCCGCGTGCCGCGGCACGGCACGCGAGCGCCGCAGCGGCGTGCGGCGGGGTGAATTTTCGGCGGGCGGGAAAAACGGGGGAAAAAAAGCGGGGGGGAGGGGAGGAAATAAAAAAAAACGCCGCGAAAAAAAGAAAATCCGTAGGAAAACCGACGGGGGCGCTCTCCGCCGCACCTGCGACCCGGGCGAATATCGTTAAAACTATTACGGCGCGCGGCGTGTGTGCGGTACGCGCGACACGATTATATTTACCGACCTAACCTGCGCGCTGCGCGGTATTCTTCTGTACGCAAACACACGCACACACACGCGCACATACACACACACACGCGCACATACACGCACACACGCGCACATGCACACACACACAAGCGCGTTTCGCGCGCACGTTTTCCCGTTACCGCCGTTCGGTTACCGCCGAAACGCGGGGTACCCGTCACGCCGCCGCACGTAATACGCGGACGCCGCGGACCGACGGTTCGCACGGGAGACGTCGACGTATCGTTTCCGCGGCGCGATAAAACAACGCCGTCGACCCCGTCCCGCTGCATAATTCATCATAAAACGTCCCGAAAAAAAAAAAAAAGGCCGAAACACGCGGGTGTACTCAATCCTTGTTTTCACACACACACACACACACACACACGCCCGATACGTATATAACATTCACACGCGTATAATACACTCGGTCGAAACGGATATATACGTATATATTATTATACATAGGTGCGTGTGTTTGTGCGCGTGCGCGCGACACGGACAGTGGAAGGGTACGTACACGCGCACACGCACGCGGGTCAATGCATTATCGAAAAGAGGTTGTTCGAAACATAAATGATTGCGGAAAGCTTTGCGACCCTCGTCGTCCGACGGCGACGGACGAAAACTCCGAATGACCGCAAAATTTAAATTCAGATATCCGCGCGCGTATTACCGTCGCCGCCGCCGCCGCCGCCGCCCTCTACATCCGAATTCCTTGTACGTAACGAACGATATACATATATACAATACACACACACACACACACACACACACACACACACGCACATATTCGCGGCCTCGCAATCTATAATATAATGTGTTATTTATAATCCCGGAGAGAATAGATGATGTTGCGATAAACCGCGGCCGTTATTCGGCGGGAACCGAAAAGGTTACGACGCGATTGTTTGGGGCTGTGCGTTACACGAAAATATTATTTCACGTGCGATACCGAACCGTCGAAATGCAGCGGCCGTAGGGGAATTTTTCCGATTTTTTTTTTTTTTTTTACTCTTTCGTTTAATTCGACGATCGGGGATCTCGAGTATTTGTTGTGTAGAGTATTCGCGTGTTCGCGTGAAATTAATATTTCAATCTATAAAACCGTGTAGTTAGGATAAAAAAAAAAAAAAAAAAAATCATATTTTTAATTTCAACCTCATTGTCGTTCGCGATAGAAACTTAACATACTTAATTGTAAACTGATCAATACCAATATTATTAAACCGTCGAATTCAATGAAATTCAATTACAATGAAACTTATACTTTTTTCAACGGACAAAGACCATTATGATTCGCATTGTCTTATTTTTATCGCTGTAAAATATCATATTTCTGAGAGGATAATATAGGTACTTTACACTGTACGAGTGCGCGATGACATAATTGTTCTGCATTTCCGAACAATATCGGATTATACCTGTCTGCAATTATAACGATTTTATAATAATGCAGCGACACAGTAATTATTGATAATTTACGTTCATTTTATTATCATTATTTTGTTCGTAACTTATTAAAGCCTACAATACCGTATACTTGCACGCTCGAGTTTACCTTATTAACCAGCAACGTGAATATTCGTTTCAAACAGACGAACCCATTACTATGCAATAAAACAAAATTTGATATTATAATTTATTTTTTAATCGTTAAAAATGAATCGTTTCTCCGAGATACCTTAAAATAAATATTTGTCCACGCAACTGCGTTTTATTCTAAAACAAACACGGGTCTGCGGAAGTCATTGTTACGGTAAATACTTTCGTTTGCATTTTATGCACACCGCACATGGTTTCACGAATAAATAAATCGTACGAATTTGACTTTCAAAAAAATAGTACGCAATTTAACGTGATCCACGGTAAAAAGACATTCATAGAAATTGAACGCCTCAAGGAATTATTAAAAGGGAAAAAAAAACCTTCATTATGATAATTAAAATAACATTATTTAATTATAACATATTTTTATATTAGGTATAATAATAAGTGTTATGCATGGTAACTTTAGTGTAAAATTAAAATCTACTGATATTTAGATAGAAATATCTACTTCACATTTTGAGCTTCGGACTTGATAGCTGAGAATTCTCCAATGGAACTTGCATCTTGAGTGGTAGATTCGAAATTCGCCGATTTTAAAAATGATGACGAATCAGCCGGCAATGAACCGGTTGAGAAAGAGTCGAATGGAGCTGGCGTTGACGATCCGAAAAATGATTGTTGGCCGAAACCGAACAGACCAGATGAACCGAAAATGTTGCTCTTTTGATCTTCGTTTACTCTAACGAAACCTTGTTGAGCAAGGTTTGAGCCTATAAACCCAGCTGGGTTTTCAGTGGTACTGAACGAACTTATTGGATTAATAGTAGAACTGAATTGACTAGATGGGGCTGGAGTAGAGCTGTAGAACTCACTGGCTGGAGCTGCAGTTGAACTATAGAATTCATTAGCTGGAGCAGAGGTTGAACTGTAGAATGAATTAGCCGAAGCAGTGTTGGCGGCGTAGATTCCATTGGTTAAGGCGGAATTGGAACCGTATAATCCACTGGCCAGAGCAGAGTCTGAGCCGAATACTCCACTAGCTGAGGCGGGATTAGATCCGTAGAATGAACCGGCTAAGGCTGGGTTTGAGTCAAAGAACCCATTGGCTGATGCAGGGTTGGAACTGTAAAATCCGCTGGTCAAAGCAGAGTTGGAGCCGTAGAATCCATTAGCTAAGGCAGAGTTAGAGCCGTAGAATCCATTAGCTAAGGCAGGGTTAGAGCCGTAAAATCTATTAGCTAAGGCAGGGTTTGAGGCATAAAATGCGCTATTAGTTCCTGGAGCAACTCCTTGTTGGTAATAGTGAACAGTAGCAAAACGTTGAGGTGTAGATTGAACTGGCACTGGAACCTTGACTTCGACTGGTACTTGTACCGGGTACGGTACTCTCTTTTCTACTGGATATGGCACTGGTCTGTCTACGGATACGGGAACTTTAACTTCGACTGGGACCGGAACATTTACTGGAACTTCGTATTTGACTGGGTACGGAACTCTTTTTTCAACCGCATATGGCACTAATTTTTCGACTGGGTACGGTACGGGCTTTTCTACTGGGTAAGGCACTGGTTTATCGACATGCACTGGATATGGCACTGGTTTTTCGACGGGATATGGCCTGTCTACGTTTACGCGTACTGGGTACGGCACTGGCTTCTCGACTGCGTACGGTACTGGTTTTTCGTATGGAACTTGAACTGGGTACGGCCGGTCAACTGGGACTTTCACTTCATAAGGCACGGGCTTGTCAACCGGGTATGGAACTCTTTTCTCGATTTCAACCGGGTATGGTTGAGGAACATGAATCGGACGGTCTACGTTCACTTTGACTGCGTACGGTACATGCTTTTCTACAGTAACTGGGTACGGATGTGGAATACGAACCAAGACGGGGTATGGAACTCTCTTTTCGACTTGGACGTAGTACGGTACTGGCACTTCCTTGCTGATGGTAATTTCATGATGAGGTGCTGGCACGTTAGCGACCGATAATGAAGGAATGGATTCGGTTTGGTATGCGTCAGATTTAACTACCGTAGCTCCTTGGGCAAAAGATGGCACATTTGACGAAAATGATGAACCGTACGTGGTAGCAAATGCAGGTGATCTGTTCAAAATAACCGGTTCCGGAATAGACGAAACGAATGGCGATGATCCAGCTAATGAGGCTGAAACTGGAGAAAATCCGGAAATCGAATTAAAAGAGCCAGATTTAAATGGAGCAGAAGTAGATGATCCAAACAAAGCTGCTGGGGTAGACGAAGCGAAAGCACCGTCGAATAATGAAGCCGCGTTGGAAGATCCAATGACTGATGCTGGGGTGGATGAAGCGAAAACTCCATCAAACGATGGACTTGCGGTAGAAGATCCAATGATTGATGCAGGGGTAGACGAAGCAAAAGATCCGTCAAATAATGGAGATGCAGCGGAAGATCCAATAATAGGCGCTGGGGTAGACGAAGCGAATGATCCGCCGACAGAATTTGCTGCAGCGCCATTGGAGAAACCGTTCGATGAAAAGGTGTTATCAAAGGCAAATGGTTTAGACGGACCGTAAGACTTGGCACCAAATGAGAATGCATACGGGTTGGAATTAGCTAGATTGAAATTGTTGAACGTTGATGATATCGGGCCAGACGACAAGAACGGTGCATTTAAAGACTGAGCTGGAGAAGCCTTGGCGAAGAAATTCGATGAGAACGAATTGTCGAACGAAGGAAACGGAGCAGGAGTCGATGTAGCCAAGGAAGCAACGTTGACGTTTTCAGAACTAGATGCCGATTCTTCGATACTTTTCAAATTCGTTGCGTTTTCGCCCTTGTTTTTCAGGTGTATAACGTCGGCAAACGTGGTGGACACGGCCAGGAGTCCTAGGAAAGCTGCTCGAATCTGAAAAATAATAATAATACGATTTATTAATAGAATATCAAACATATTATGTTTCCCATGTATACGTTCATGTATTTATAATTCACAGTTATGTCGTGTTACACAAACGAACTATTATTCATTTAACTAGAATTTTTGAATAAAACCGAGACTCGACGTCGGCTGCATATTAGTGTATATTATAATATACCGTGAATCCAGACGGTGTTCTATTAAATTGTTCAATGTAAATATCCAAAAATACGAGATCGATATTTATAACATATTACAAGAATATACAATTATTATACATTATATGTGTATAACGTATATAAATATATATTCACAATGATTACAATTTTTTTTATAATATCAATTCCCGATTGGTTTTTATATTGAACATTATAACGTTCGGTTTCAAATAGTTATAACTTTTAATAGTGAGATAACACGAAACGCATCGGTACATGTGTATAAATTATTTATAACTAACGGTACAGTTCGAAAAAAAAAAAAATAAAAAAAAAAAACCATCGCGAGGTGTATTATTTTTGTTAATTTAATTTTTATCGATTTAACGTGCAAAGACGATTATTCCAACACTATCGGTCGATTAATATTCACCACGGTTGATTATATTTGAGTTTAATTATTATGATTTAAGTTTATACTATTTAATTATAACCTACTTAAAAGTATTATAAAAAACGTATTTTTAGTAATTTGTCTGCGAACAATTTATTAGTTTGTATATACGAATTAACGTTTCTTCTTTTTCGGAAAACTCCAATTTTTAAGGCAGTAAAAAAAAAAAAAAATTAATTAAGTTTTATTTTTACATTACGAAGACGTTTAACACAAATAGTACTTTTAAGTGTTTTAGTCTTGTTTTTTTCAAAATGGTTTAATCGAAAAATCTAGAATTATTTTATTCAAATATGTGTTACGTTAAAATAACAGAGTAATAATATTCACTGTTCCGCAGTTTCGAATCGCTCGAGAAAATATACAAATTAACAGAAAATTTTTTTTACATAAAACAATTAACAATTCGTTTTGTTTTTCAATAAAATATTATAATCTACGAATCAATAGTTTTTTGTAAAAAAAAAAAAAAAAAAAAAAAATGTTTGGTTTGTTCGAAGTAGATTTTGTTTACATAATTTTGCGGAGGAAAATAAAATAATAATAATTTTCGTTCTTACCATAGCACTGGGAGCCATGTTGGGCCGCATTGGTTGTCGTTTGTGTTTGGTCCGGTAGTGACCAACGACTTATGGGTGACTCGAAAGACGGTTAACGTTTGCTATATATACCGGGTGCATCTTCATTCGAATCGCCCTACCCCGCACGAAATTATTGCCAATAACCTGTAATTCTACATAATAGGCGATTTTCGTTTTACATAAAATATTATTACACTTAATAATAATACACGCTATTATTCAATATGCGCGACAAGATTCTCTGTCACACCGTCTCTCTCTCTCTCTCTCTCTCTCTCTCCGATATAAAAACGTGGGTCTTCGCTAAAAATTCAGATGTCCCGCAATATCAGTTTTTTTTTTTATTAATTTTTTTATTACGATTGTTTTTTTTTTCCGTATTTATGGTAATCCGACTTTTTTTTTTTTTTTTTTACACGATTTTATACATACTTACTTTTTTCGGTCATCGTACGCCGAAACTGGTTATAGCCGGTATACTCACGCGTACCGTAATAAGTCAACGGTTGCATAATACTTGTACGATTTGAATTCAATAATAATTTTATTGTCATCGACCTTATTATGTTATTCCGATGTGTTAACCGTGAGTTTTTCCTTTCACCGGCGCCGAGTTCGGCCGACTCGTCTGTCGGTGCGGCATAGTAAAAAAAAAGAAAAAAAAAAAAAATGGCTTTTGGTCGCCGCTAACGCAATTTACACGACCGCCGCTATTTTCGAAAAGGGATACTCGTGCGGATCGTTCGTGTCGAATATTCGGGCGAATGACGGATTTGAAAAAAATGCCTTTTGAAAGACTATAATGTGGTCCGAACGCTATATAATCTAAAATTATTTTAATAGATCGTATTGAATTACCCAAGTCGAAATAACGTGTATGTATCTTACATATAAAATTCTCGTGTCACGTGTTTGTGGTCGCACTCCTCCGAAACGGTTTCACCGATTAAAATGAATTTTTTATTTTTGTATATTCGGTAGACATAGTTCGTAAAGCGTATTTCGCCCTACTAAACTCACGCGCCATTTTTTTTAATCGCGGTTTTAGTATTTTCGCTCATATGTGTATATACGAGCAACAACAAATTATTTGACTTATAATATAATAAGTACAATTTTTCTTGTTGATTCGCGTTACCCCGGTAACAGAAATGAAAAAAAAAAAATGATTATAAATTGTTATTAGAAATTAGTCGGAAAATATCGTGTGATCGTCGTAATCGGTCCAGCCGTTCTCGAGTTATATATATATAAATGGTGTAACTAACCCGGCTTTGTTTTATTTTTATGAGATTTTTCGTTTATTCGTGGGCTGACGCGGAAAAGAAAACTATTATAATTGTTATTACGACAAATTCGTTTACACTATTCAAATTTCACAATAGAACGCGCGTTTTGTCCGCCGACCATCCGCTTTCCGCCTACTCGTTTCCATTCAATTCAAACACGGCCGAAAGCGAAAATGAATACGGGTAAAATAATATAAATTGGCACGGGCGACGCCGGCCGCGGGACAGCCAATAGCGTATATGTACGAGTATATTTCGATCGAATTTTACATAAAATATAATATTACCTATTGTATGGGTTTTGCAAACGTTTCACTAGCTAAACGCGAAGCCGTTCGACGTTCCCGTCGGTGAATTTAGCAAACGATGGCTGGTAAGCACTCGAAATGAATGCGGCCGTGTGTTTCGTAAACCACGGTATAAGCGTCGCTTAATTAATTTGCACGGCAAAGTGGCCCTTACTTATATACTGTGTTTTACAAACAGACGCCCGAATACTTTTCGGCGAGTGTCTGTTTAACTGATAATTCTGTTTAGCCGGCAACATAAACACTTAATTAATTGGATTATAAACTCAATTTAAAATATATATCGAATTATATTTGCCGATTAAACGGTCCGAAGTTGAATTATTCGGTAAAAAACGGATTTAAAGAAAACACTCGCGTTTGTATATTTAAATGCAAAATGTGCTATAGCCACCCCTTACCTACGTTATAATATAGTAGTATAGGTGTCTGTATAATAATCGGTTATCTATTTACTATTATTTTTTTTTTTTTTTTTTAGATATTGAGCGAAGCGAATAAGGTTATGGTTTTACAACGGTATCGATTTGTTTTCTATGGACGACTTTTCTAACAGCGATTTCTCTCCGATTTTCAATGATATCATTTTTCTCTGAAAGTAAACGGGACTGGAGAGACACTTCAGAGAGATCATTTTTTGATTTTCCCAGAAGTGTACCCGATAAATAAAAATAAAGGAGGAAAACGGGAAAATCGATACAATATTAAAAAAATACCATTAGAGAAAAAAAAAATAGAACGCACGTGTAATTATTTTACCATAATATGACGTTTTATATATTGTTTACAAAGCAACACTATAAACTGAACTCCGCTCAGAGTCTTCTTTTCGCTAGCAATGGTTAATCATTGTTTACAGATATACATTAAATTACCTATAACAGAGGCTGCACCAGTCCTCGTTATCTTAGAATAGATTTTTCATGTTTATTCGAATAGTATTTAAAACAAATTTTTACAAGACTGTGTACATTCGTATATTTCTTATCCAACACAATTTAAAATAATCGCATTACAAAACTGACGGTCCCGGTGAACTATTTTGAAAATCGCGCGTACATCCTCGTCGTAATATGGTAACCGAATATTTAAAATTGTTCATAAAACGTACGGGTTGCACTTTTTAGAGGTTTTTTTTTAACGGATTAAGTTATTTTTAGCGTTAAAATAAAAACAAAAATTTTTTTTGACACATATTACATTTTTGTTGTTAAAAGATTTATCCAACAACAGATTACAACGGAATCGAACAATAAACGTTGTTTAAAAAAACCATAGTTTTTCTAATATTAATTCCAATTTCGCGGCTCCAATGATCGGAAAACAAAAAGTACAAGATATTATTGCAGTAGTGATAGAACTATAAAATTAAAAAAAAAAAAAAAAAAATTAAAGAACAGTTTCGTTTGTTTGCTATATTATTTATCATAGTAAGTTCATATTGTACAAACAAATATTAAAACATGCAAAAGGAATTCCGAGATGTTTTTTATGAAATATAAAATGTAACAATTCGTTAAAAAAAACAATGAATCAATACAAATATAAAGTTGAATACATTGCAAAACAATTTTTAGTTTAACTAAATGTAATAAAAATAAAATCGCGTCCCGGTGTAAGCGATTTCCGTATGCCCAATCGATAGCAAAAAATAGCATTTGTAGTAGAAATATTGTTATTTGTGTTGAAAAAAAACAATTACGTTTTATTTCGAAATGGGCGGTTAGATAACTGAATACTTCCGATACTTAAGACGGCATCGATTATAGTCAATTTCGGTATATCGATTTCGGTATTTTATTGTGTATTTAAATACGATAAAATCATTTTAGATACTTGATCGCTGTCGCAGTTAAATAGATTAAAATTAAAAAAAAAAAAAAACATATACGGTTATTTTCAATTTCTATACATTTGAATTCCGAAAATGCGCGATATAATAATAAATAATGCTAACGATTGATGATACGTAAACATATTATGCATTTTGGTTTTATTTTCAAACAAAGATATCGCGTGTCGAGTATCGAATTCTAAATTTTCGGCATTGCCCGCCTCTAGTATTATGGTATCGTTATCGCTGTACCGGCCGAAAAAATAATGAACACGATTTTCGTTTTCTTTTTTTAAAATTATTATCACATCTGTAGGTATACAAATTTTATTTATAGTCTGGAAACTAGTTACTGTACCGCAGTCACGGGCATCGGACAGAATAATCGTATCGTTAAAATTTACAACATTGTCAATTTTCATTTTTTTTTTTTTTTTTTTTTTTGTTGTACTTTATCTTATAACTTTTAACTCATTTTATTTTTTTTTATAAGCTCTTTTAATGCAATAATTATGGAAAAGGAACATATTTTTACTCTTAAAATATATAAACTGTAGGTACTTACGCGTACGTAATAATATAACAGTTAAACCACCATCGAATATGTTTTGCAAAAAAAAAAAAATGCTATATATTAACAGCTTTTGTTTAGTAAGTACCTAAAGAGATGCCGTTTTTTTTATTACGTGTGTTCCGGTTCATTATAAAATTTTAATGGAATTCACGAAAACGACTATAAATTCTAAACACGAATATTCGCCTTTAATAATAATAATTATAATATTTTTACTGTTTTTCACGCTATAGTTGCGGTTTTTAAATTTATATCTTTTTTTTTTATCAACTAGTTTTATAATATTACTTTTTTAAATGTTATACATTCCGTAATGATAAAAGAATAAAAAAAAAATCAAAACGCAAGAAAAACTTAGTGTTTCGATACGAAATTAATAGGACACATTTTGATTAACATTAAAAACTGACATAAAAGATAAAATGTCAATAATTTTTAACTGCCTGGTGGACATTTCGTACATTTTAATTTACGGCTTCAAAAATCAGAGCATTTACTCCACGCCAAAATATGTTTTCAAAAAAAATGTACGATAACAAAATAAACAAAGTAACATTTTTTCGGAACTAATTACTGCGAATTTCAAAAACATTTTCAAATAGTATACAAATAGGTTTTATCCGGTAATATATCCTCATCTCTCACCCTACAACGTCAAAACATCGTAAATTTCTGAGTAGTTATACTTAATTTGAAACAGATGTCGGAACGATTAGTAGTTGACCAACCTCTAGGCTTTTTTGTTTGTTTTTGTTTAATATCTGTGTTGCCCCGCAGAAAAAGTTTGGAAAAAATACGTATTGTTTTATTCCGTTAACATTGACATAAACATTTATGGACGCTACTGCTATAACTATAATAATATGAACAATTTCATAGCACGTCGATACTGTTATAGCCATAGTACTTTTGTCAACGGTATCAAACGATAAAATGCACAAGACTGTCACATTGCGGAAGTTTATACTGTTATTACTTGCAGAGATTTTCGGATGTACGTACAGCATTACAAATTGTCATAACAGTAAAAATTGCATTACAAGTGTCCGCCGATATGGTAAGAATCGGTTTGTTTTTTTTTTTTTCATTTGCAACGATTTACGTAAATTAAAAATACTAACCCACCTGTTTATCATACCTAGCCCGTTACCAACCTGTAGCAGTGACCAACTGACCAGTAAACGATTATATCAACGTTTTTATATCATTATCGTAACACGCGTAATTTGCATTTTATTAAACTTTTCTTGTGCAAGTAACCCATCCCGGATATAGATAGAAATTGGTTTTTTTTTTTTTTCAAAATTATGTCTTCTCGATATTTTCGGTAGGAATTTGTGTACACATGATGACAATTATTAATGCTCGGGAGACATATTTTAGGCGCGAGACTTTTTTGATTATTCTTGTTTTCCGAGTACATTCAAATATATATGTGCCGATGGCGTCTTGTAAAAAGGGCGCATACCACTAAAAATCGAAAAATACTTTTTTGCTATTAAAAAAAAAAAAAAAAACCCCGATAAATTAGGAGCGAAAAACCGGCAAAAGACTAAAAGATATACAGGCGCTGTTTTAAAATAGAATTAAATCAACACCGATATGTTTCAAAGGGCGAGTATCACATTCAATGCGCGTGTACTTTGTGTATAAAGGTATTATCCGTATCGATAATTTTATTGTTTACCGTGATAAGCATCATTAAAAACTGCTTTGATTTTTTTTTTTTTGTGTAAAACAGTATTGTTTTCGCTTTCTGAGCAAATGTGGAATTTGATAGAAGCCCTTTTAACAAAACGCCGTCGGTATATTTATTTATTTCAACCCACGTTTAATACGTTGACACCTTTGTCACGTATTTTATCTTCGTGCCGACGCTACTCTCACCGAACAGAATACAACATTGTACAACAACAACCATACAATTATTAAACCTCGCGGTCAAGTACATCTACTCCCGAGTTGAACACACAATTAAACTGAAATATCGATACTAGGTACGCGCGATCTGTGAATAATAATTTGCTCCTATTGAATCGCATAATTTATGCGTTTGATTGAAACAGCTCCGTATGCAATGCGCGAATAATTACGCGGTTTTGTTCGTACGTGAAAAATGCGAATTACGCAACATTGCTATTTAAATATGCAAAAGTGCAAAACTATTATATTGATATTCGTAAACCGTCTTTTATCGTTGCACGATTTCGGTAATTCGCTTATATTTATGTGCAAGTCGTATTGCGGTTTCGCGGTAGTGGTCTTTGGTCCGGGGGTAGATGGGTCCAAGGCGAGCGATTTTGCGTACGGTTTACAATACGGGCAAAATGCAATTTTTAAACTGCATACACTTATTTTGAAAAAAAAAAAAAAAACAAAATTTTTACACGCATGTAGTTTATTCCAAAACAATAAAGGGAAACGATTATTTATATATTTATACATGAAAAAAATCGTTAGCTCGACCCTCGGAGTAGTGTACAAAAAAAAAAAAAAACAGTTCCGAAGTGCGTATTACAAAATCGAAAAAAAAAAAATTAATTTCTTATGGATTTTAATTCGGTTTATAACAACAATATAATATCGTCTCAAACGACGACCGGACGAAATTTTTAATCAAGTAGCCACACAGTTTTCTTAAGCCGTTATTGTTATCATTAATATTCCGGGCGCCACTCCGACGTCCAACGCGGGGAAAATAAATACGTGTTTGAGATTGTTGTTATTCGAGCGGCCGGTTTTCGGATTCGTATCAATACTCGCGGGACGTTTCCGGTTATTTTGTTTTCGGGTTGTTTTCCATTCGACCCGCAGACGCGACGCTAATAATCCGGATAAAATAATATAATAATACAAAATTTTATATTACACCGGAAAATTCGTCGTCCTTTCATTTGCTCCACGACATGCGCGAAGCCTCAAACTAGATGCACAATTTTACCGCACGGCACGACAGACAAAACACTATCGTCCGGTTCGCATACTATTCCGAACCGATATTAGTTCGTTTACAATTTTGTGTTTCGATCGGTCGGGTTTTTCATGTTTTCTCCCTAGTTTCGCGCGAGAACGGCGTGAACAGTTTTCGAGTAAAAACGCCCGTGTCATTTAAAAAAAAACGAGTGCTTGTTTTGAATTTCGTAATTAAGTTTTTACGAACAAACTGTATTAGTTTATTTTATTATAAAATACGCATATTTCAACGGAATCGAGTCCGACGGGACACCGATGGACCGACAAAATATCCTTCGCCAGAATTTTTTGTCGAGCCGTGCCGTACAAGTGTGAATCGGCTTTATGCGATTTATTCCCCGTTGAACTACCGACGTTTGTTTGTAACCGCATACGGGATAGATAAATTACCGACTGTCCTCGTATCTTCCGTTTCCGGTCTCTCCTATCGATATCTTAAGCCTTTTGCCGTCTCCAATAATAACGTCTGCGACGTTCTTCCGTAATCTAATCTCTCGGTCACCATTTTTTCTCGTGTTTTTCCTTAGAAATATTTTTAAAAATACGTATAACACCGCTGTATAGTTGCACATATGACGACATTTCTCGATTATTATATTATAATTGACAAAATTCTAATTGTTTAGAAGTTTTCATTTTTTATAACTGAGCGCAACGAGGAGCATATTGGTTTTACTCCAAATTTGTTTGTGGGTTCTTCTTGGTTCTGTGAATAACATTTCTACCAGAAATCTTAATCTGATTTTTAAGTTTATCAACTCTTCTGAAAAAAATATTATTGAGTTTGTACACTGGAGAGGTTATTTTTTTGATTTCCCGTGTAGTTTTCTTAATAATTTAAAAAAAAAATTATTAGGATAAGCGGGAATATTTAAGCCAATAACGGTTTCATTATTTTCGATTTTGTTTTATTTTAGTTGCAATTTAGTTAAAAATAATTGAAGAGATCTTAAATTTGTATAAATCCCCGTTGACATGAATAATTTTAAAAACTTTTTGGCAATTTTAAGGCATTTATAAGCGTTTGACATTTCCTAGTTATATTATTAAATATTTGTTTGATTTTTATTTGAAATGGTAAAAATCATATTGTTTAATTTGACCTCACTGAGAATCGTATTTCGGTTTACCGTTTCGTACAGATAATAATTTTATTAAACATCTCTATGAATCCTAACTTCTCAACTTCCAACCAACAACAGTGACACGTTCGTCAACAGTATTAGATTTTTTTAAATTTTAAACTGTATAGACCTGTAAAGTTATAAATAAAATACTCGGTTGAAGTTAATGATCGGACGTGGGCTGGCCGATCGGAAAAAGTTAAGCGTTCTCGTTCGTAAATAAATATTACACAAAAACGGTGACGAAAACACGTCCTACGTCTTAATAATACGTGACCACGACTACTGTCTACGAGGATATCGTTCAAATTTGTATATATTATTTTAGATCTTTGGACATGCATATATATTTTTAAATAATAAACGCTAATAACGTAATCGCCGTGATTATACTCATCTGATATTTGTTTTTTTTTTTTTTTTAATTTTAGTCACACGATATTAAGTTCTTTTTTTTATAGAAAAACGGTAACCACAAGCTCACAATGTCAATTTGTTCTACGCTGAGTGTTATAACATTCGCAATAGCCGATGCATTTGTTTTCGTTGATTCCTGTATACGCTATTACTACGCGGTCATCGCACGGTCATTTTCCACTCGTCATTCGTGAGCCGAAGAAAAACAAATTTTAACGCGTGTCAAAAAAACAGGGAAATATAACTGTCGAAATACAATCTGCCGTCGCAGCTTTACGAGGATAACGCAGCCCTGTGTTCACAATTCGACAAAGTTCACTAATATTATTAATTTTCGCCCCAAAAAACGGGTCGACCGGCCGGGGAAAAAAACGATTTTCTCGTGTTGCACGTGCCTATGCGTGTCGGTCGGGGTTTTTTTTCGCGTGCGTTCCGCGGGCACCGGCACGTTTGTTACGAATACCTACAGTACCTAACCCGCGGGGTCGCGTGTCGCGCGGCCGTGCTCGAAAATAGGTCGCCGGGTACGGGGTCGAAAAAAGCGATGACTTGGGCCGCTGAGAACTCCCGACGGCGCGGAGTTGTCGCGGGCACCGGGACCGTCGACAATGTCACGGCGACGGGGTACGGTGTCGGTTCACGCGGCCGTCTGTGCGGCGCCGGCCGGCAGTCGTGGCGGCGGCGAGTCGGCTGCCGTGCGCATTTTTAGCGTGCGGTTCGACCCGAGTCCGTCGGCCGAGACGCCTCGACTCGCGGAGGGCCCGGGCCGAACGCGCGCTCAGCGTCTCTCACGCGCGGTCACCGGTGGTCTTGACCCCGCGTAACCGCGGCAACTCTGACCGAGCTTTTTTCCGGGGAATTCCGTCGGTAACCCGGAGTCGCACGATATACGACTGTAAATACTATAGGCTACTACTGTAGGAAATACAATTCAAAATGTATAAGGTCGGATCGTATAAGCCACCGCCGATACAATCGTAGAGCCTCGTTTTGGCAAATAAACCGAATGTAACCGAGCTACTGTATACTTTATATACAAATCGTTTTATGACTCGGGTTATGAATTTCGGTTATAGGTTACCGAAATGTCATAACCAAACAAAAAAAAAAAAACGAATATGTTGTTCGGTTCTCAGTTAAGTAACGATCGTAGATATTTAGTCAATACTTTCTGTTTTTTTTTTTTAAGATAAAAAGTCTTTCATTTTTATGGTTGTTTGATTCCATTTTATAAAATCATGTGATTTGATATCTTAACAATTCGTTGGGTATTTTTCAACGCATAACCCCGGAAACAGAAAATCGACGAAAAATAACCAAGCGGGGAAAGCGAACGTGCAATGTTCCCGGTTTCTAAACGTGTCTTACAATAAATTACTATAATAATATTTCATATGCAACTTTGAACGGATTCGGTAACCTAGTAAATTATGTTTAAGCGTACAAACATACAAATAAATTAAAAAATATCTTAATTTGATTTGTGAACAATTGACAAGGTACTGTTTTAAATTCTCAAAGACACTCACTCTCATGTTATTGCGTATTTTTAATGTCGGCTTGTAATATGTACGCAACTAATTTATTATTATTTTTCGAGTTATTTATAAAATATGTAAATTAATAATATTACAATAGGAAATAAAAAGGTGCGAACGACGAGAGCGAAAGCGAAACGATAAAAGGTAAAAGGGTAGGTGGAATAAAATTGTTGTAATTGTTAAGGAGGTATACACTATATAGGTATGAGACGTGCGTATGAGAGACAAGGGTAGTAGGTATATAGGTAATGTGAGTACGCGTATATATTTTAAAAGGAAGTAAAAGTGAACGAGTGTTGTGGATGAAACTACGTGGGCCGAGGGGTCCGGCGTCTTCGGTATTGTGGCAACGTGCGAGTCACAGAACGCGTGCCTTAAAGGGCCCGTGCGATAAAATAACGTACACGTTGCATTTTGTATTATTGAACGGTTTGTTATATGCGCAATTATTGCTGTGTGTCGTATTTGGATGATAGCCATGTACAGAACACCTATATTAGTATATTGACGGTTAACCACTGATTGTTGACGAACGCCATAGTTAATTTTCCGACGCCATGTTTTCCGATAACGAAACATTAGGTAAACAGTTGATCAGTTTTGTTCTTCAAATTGATATGGAAATTTAAAGAACCTATGGGTTTTATAAGCTAAATTAAGTTAATTAGCTTGAAAAAAAAAGATGTTCTGAACATATTACTTAGACAGAAATTTAAGTAATGTTAGATCCAATATATATAGTACATATAAAAATTGTGTTTCGAAGGTACCCTGTCTGTGCGCCTATATTAACGATTTCATATTCTTGTATTATTTTCGTGTACATTTTTATTTAATAATAATAATAATCCTTATTCACGGAAATGTATTTTAATTTAAAAAATATCGACAACAAGTTGTACAGATTAGTGAAACAAAACGAAATAGGTACAATATAATATAATATTGGTAAAACATAGTGAAATGTCGTTTAAGTATAGAGAAAAAAAAACAAAACGCTAAAATAATAACATAATGAATAATAATAATAATATACATGGTAAAAAATAACAATAGAAATAAAATAAATAGAAATAAAAAGAAATAAAAATTACATTTCGAGAATATATCAAGAAAAATCGAAGAAAAAAAAATTATTTTTTCATTATCCAATAATTACGGTATGATACAATATAATTAACAGATGACTTCTGTGAGTTATCGGTATAGAATTATAACTCGAATCCACAAGTAAAAAGAAGAAACAGAATGTAATATTGAGTTATAGATGAAATCGCATAGTAATTACAACTAAAATTCATTTAGAGAGACTAAATGTCTTTAATTATTATAGGGGCTTTATCCGTTCGGGAGGAAATGTGTCGGAAAATCAACAAACACTTTAGGAGGTTTCTGACCTACACGTGCGATTTGCACGTATTTTCAATTTATGCCGAGTATTAGAATTTGTATTATGCGGTAGGTGGCTGATGGGCCGTGTAAAGTGTTTGAGGGTCAACGATACTGCAGGTCGTCGGGCCTTTGAGTGAACGTTCCCTGACTCGGAAACCATTAGTTCGCAACGCATCCGTTCGCGCAATTGTGATTACACATTTACACATCCAATATCACAATATAATAGCCGTTTTGGATCGTTGGCCAATGAAACTATACATTAGGGTTAGAGGCGGTGGATGAGTTCTAGATCGAAGGTTCGTAGAAATCCCCTCACTCTCAAAATACAACGATTAAAACTACATAATCCGTCGCATAAATATAGCTTTTATAATAAAAAAAAGTCTTAGTCTATATATTGTCTACATTTTTTCGTCGCACGAAAGGATTTTCAGGTCAGTTTTTATTATTTCCCGAAATATGATATTT